ATGAAAAAATGGGCTAAAAAAAGGTGCAGCAGCCTGTGTGGGTATGAGGGCCTTTCTAGGTTTCAGGGCTCAGGTTTAGCTTTGTATTGCTACTGTCAATGACTATATTCATTTATTATTGGTTTTTTTTTACTGTTCCTTTAGGAAGAAAGACAGGAGCTGTGGCACAGCAAGGCCTGCAAATGCGATTGCCAAGGAGGTCCCAACTCATTGTGGTCCAGCGGGACTAATGGCCTAGAGTGCATGCCAGGTAACAGGCCCCGGAACGTCCAGCTGTTTGCCTGGTGACCTTCAGCAGCTTCCCTTGCCACTCCCTGTGTTGCAGAGGTGACATAGTACAGCAGCGCTTGTTCCAAACCCAGCTGCTGGTGGGGCTGGGGGAGCTGCAGCAGTGGGAGCTGTGGGGGGACCCTCACCATCGGGCAAAGGGGCAGCAGGGGCCATGCCTGGGCTTCAGGAGGTCACCCCGGGTGGCTCAGACTGGCTGGAGCTGTTGGGTCCCTACAGCCCTTGGTGCTGCTGCTCCCAGATGCTGCCTGGTGTGGCTCCCACAGTGCACAGTGTTTGCTGTGGGAAATCTTTCCTACCACCTGGGCTCATTTTCAAAGAAATCACAGAAACACAGAATGTTAGGAGTAGGAAGGGACCTCGAAAGATCCCTTGTTGCAGTTTAGTCTGTGACATTTCCTTTCTCCATGGGTCAAGGAAAACCGTTTATTTTCTTTGCAGCATATTTTTAAACAGTAAAAGACCACAACCATGTTTTCTTTGAGTTTTCTCTGGGCTGTCCCTGCCCAGCTCCTTCAGCCATTCCTCACAGACCATGTTTTATAGGTTTCTGATCAAGATCTTTCCTTATTATTCTCTGCAACTTTCCTGACATGTTACCCCAGCAAGGCTTTATCGTGCCCAGCTGATCCTCAGGTAGCTCTTGTGTCCCAGAGCTGTTCAGGATACTGTTCAGGCCTCTGTCATGTAGGTGTTCGGAGGTGTTAACCTCTTCTGGAGGTGGGTGCCAAAAGTGATACCTGCCTCGTGCCTGCTAGCAACCACCTCTTCCCAGCTCCTGCAAGAAGCTGTGTGATCTAGCCAATGTGATGGTGTTGAGTCATAGGCTGGACTTGATCTCAGAGGTCTTTTCCAGCCTCAACAATTCTGTGATTCTGTGATTCTGTGATTCTGTGTTTTGCTGCCCCCGGGTTCACCAGGGGAGATACATGTGGGAAACAGTCACCCAGTGCTCAGCTTTAGCATGGCTGCCCTTAAGGAGGAGAGAGTTTAGTGAGTTACCCTTGAAGAGCGCTGAGTGAAAGCCAGGATGGGCTAGAAGGCAAAAATATATACTCACAAGGAGAGTGGACCACTGTTGGCAGAGCTTGCAGACACACACAAATAGAAATGAGAGGTGAAAACCCCAAGGTGTTTCTATCCCACATGGGTGTTGGACCTGAAGGCTTTTCTCCTATGGCATGAGGGAGCTGATAAGTGCACAGGCTTTCCAGCCATCCTTACCAGGCCATCTGCTTCCCCTGAGCTCTCCTGCCATGCACTCTGCTTCAGTGGAAGTCATGCCCACTTGGGGTTTGCCTGACTTGAGCATTGCCCACAGGCTTCTTCCCTGCCCAGAGAAAGTGTGAAGAGATGATTCATCTGCTGTGGATGGGTGGTGTCTCACCCTCAGGGCAGAACAATCCCAGACGTCCCCAGTAAGGGGTCATGGTCCTTCCAGCCAGTATCTCCAAAGCGCAGTCTGCTGGGTCAGACACAAAGAGGAATAAAGCATTTGCTGGAGACAGCTGCTGTGATGCAGAAGAGTCACTTATAGAAGCTTCAGAAATGGCACCCTATATGCCCTGTTTTGAGGATTTCCCCCAGTCTCTTATGAAAGAAACTCATATGTTCTATCCCAAACATCAGTCCAAGCTGGCATTGTACTGCCTGAGCTCACTGCTCTTCCTTGAAGTGCTGGCCACCAAAACTCTGTGACTTCTCTGTCACAGCATCATCACAAAGCCCACTTGTGATGCGCAGATCCCCTACAGTTCTTGCATCTTTGTCTCAGCCCTTCTCCTTTCGGAAAGTATGTCCCTGCACATCCTCTGCCTGTAACTATCCCTTTGCATGGAGCTGCAGCAAGGAATATTTTCGATGAATGTAGGTTACTGCGCACTCCAGGTCACTGTGCAGGACCTCCCTGCAGCCCTGGCATCATGTGCGAGGACAGCATTGGCACATTCACATGCACCGCAGAGTCTTACGGGAATGCTGAATCCCAGCCAGCCCAGCAGAGATCCCCCAGCAGCTCCTTGGGAAGTCCTTTTCACAGTGGCTCCCTAGCCTAGTCCTACTGTGTGTTTTCTTGTTGTTTAGCTTTAACAGTGTACAGTTCTTCATCCAGAGCCTTGCTACAGCCTGGTACTACCTTGCTGTCCCTCGCACCAAGGGATTGCAGAATCATAGTATGGTTTGAGTTGGAAGAGACCTTTGAAAAATCGTTTAGTTCCAACCTCCCTGCTATGGACAAGGACATTATTTCACTAGACCAGGTTGCTCAAAGTCCCCTCCAGTCTGGCATTGAGTACTTCATGGACAGGTCTTCTACAAATTCTCTGGTCAACCTGCTTCAGCATCTCACCATCCACATCATAGAAAATTTCTTCCTTATGTCCAGTCTAAACCTACTCTTTCTATTTAAAATGATTGCTGCTTGAAATTGAAAGGAAGGAAAGGAGACATGGCAGATTTGGTTTATCCATCCATGGCTGAGGGATGCAGTTCTAGGCTTCCTGGCCAGGCTAGGTGTGACACATCAGCATTATGTAGCTGAGTAACGAAGACATCTTCTTTGGCTAATGAAGGCTGTTCTCCTGAATAATGACTGTTGTCACTGTATCTCCCAGTTCTCTCTCTCACCAGACGGGGAGGCTTTGTGCTCTCCTTGCCCAGCCCAGCCCTGTTAGCATGGTTTGCAGAGCAGCCGTGCTGAGATGTTGCAGAGCTGTCTGGGGCATGGCTGGAGAGCAGCAGCCAGCCTTGCAACTCCTGCATGAATTTTCTCAAGTCCACGGTACCAACATTAAATGTCTCAGCCAGTTTCGCCAGGTGGGCACCAGGCATCACTTTCGAGGGCCCCCTTCACGGTGCAGCTAGACATGTCAGAAGGTGACCTGCTAATTGCATTATGGTTGTGCAGTCTGTGGATTAGCCTCGCTAAAAGCAAAGTTACGTGGTGTTTGAGATAAGCCTGTCAAGTAGTAAACATGGGGGGCCACCCCAACCCATGCAACCTCTCGCCCAAGGGGAGTGAGAGTTTTAATGTGGTGGAAAAGTGTGATGTTTCCGTGCCTGGAGGAAGGCGAGATGGCAGCTCTGTGTCTTCATGGGGAAAAACATGTTAATGAGGTACTGACTGAGCGAGATATGTTAATAAGGTATTGATGCATACAATATCGACCTAATGGAGCTTGCTAATGAGACATCGACGGCGTGGCTGCAGTGCTGGGAGGGGAGGCCATCCTCATGCCAAGCCCTGGCTGCCCACTGATGGCCCCCACGTGTTGGTCAGTTTTCAGAGGGAGACACCATGCTGGTCGGTCAGGCACGGCTAAGGCGAGGAAATGTTCTACCCACAAGTGAAACTTCACTTGCTCCTTTATTGCCATGAGATGAGCAATGCTAAACTGGAAAATGTGGGAGAGTTACCCTTGGAGGCACCACACCTGCTTCATAGGCTGTGAAAATAGAAAATGCTGCCCATGATACAGATGCTGGATGAAGTAATCCCTATGTGGTGCTTGTAAGCGCCTTCTTAATGTGTATCTAGATACACAGTGATAACCTAAATCATAGAATCATAGAATCATTAAGGTTGGAAAAGACCTTTAAGATCATCTAGTCCAACCGTCAACCCAATACTACCATGACCACTGAACCATATCCTGAAGGGCCATGTCTACACATTTTTTTTTTTTAGCTGATTGCATAAAAAATGATTGTAATATAAAAACCCCACAACTAGATCCTGGTAACACGCAGGCACTCTGCATGGCAGCATCACCAAAGGCTTGCCTTCTAGAGCACTCTGTGGTGACCCACCACAGAATGTTTTAAAGGTGAATGAGTATTTCTGCTCCTAGTGATTTTGCAGTCAGCAGGAGCCTTGCTGAGCTTCTCGCTATTATAGAGAACAGGTTTGGTAGCCTGAAGATCTGAAGGCAAAAACTCAGATGGAGATCTTTTAGCCTTCATCAGGGACAAGGATTACACCAGGGTACCTGCAGATTTTTGACCAGACCATCTCCAGATACAAAGATAGTCCCCATAGCAGAAAATGCAGCAGATCTGAGGGTGCTGTGAAGGGATAAACAGAGCAGGCTCAGCAATTTTGCCATGCAGGCATAGCCATAAATCAAGACAGTGAATGGAGAAGCAAAAGAAGATGATGCCTGGCAAGAAAAGCCATGTCAGGCATTTCTTAAGGACCAGAGAGAGGTTGACAGCCTGGAAGCGTGATCCAGGTCAATGAATACAGCCTGGATCTGCTTCCAAGTGCTTGCAAGAAGAAGATTTGAACTGCAACATGTGAATAAAGCTTTCCCCCCAAAATGCTGCGGGCTGCACAGGTTTAGTAATTTTGGAAGAGAGAGAAGAGTTAGAAATTCACACAAGAGAAGAGTTAGAAATTAGGACTCCCATGGCCCCTGGGCAGCAAATACCAAAGGTGTTGTGGACTGCATTTAAGAGCATCCCAAGCATCCTGGCCAGAGAGAACAGGGAGCAGTGAAACGATAGGGAGTGTTGAGAACAAGCGTGCAAATGCACCCAGGAAACAAAGCCACATGTGTGCCTCCATGTATTTTCCCCCTTGTTCTGCAGAGTGCCCCTACCACAAGCCCCTGGGCTTCGAGTCTGGTGCTGTCACCTCCGACCAGATAAGCTGCTCCAACCCTGAGCAGTACACAGGCTGGTACTCCTCCTGGACAGCCAACAAGGCTCGTCTCAACGGCCAAGGCTTTGGGTAAGTCCAAAAATCCCTCCCCGAGGTTCTCCATGGGTGGGTGGGTGTGGGAGGCCCAGGATCCCTGGCAGTTTTGGGGCAGGAGAGTCTGCCCAGGAGGGCAGCAGCATAGAACGTAGCGGGGCTGGTGTTGTCCCACCTAGGTGTGCGTGGCTTTCCAAGTACCAGGACAACGGACAGTGGCTGCAGATTGACCTGAAGGAGGTGAAGGTGATCTCGGGAATCCTCACACAAGGGCGCTGCGATGCCGATGAGTGGATGACCAAGTACAGCATGCAGTACCGTACCGACGAAAACCTCAACTGGGTTTACTACAAGGACCAGACCGGAAACAACCGGGTAAGTGAACTTCACGTTTGCTGTAAGTCCAGGACTAGTGCACAATGACAATGCAGAAATCTGCAGCTAGGTAGGTCAAAACTCACCCAACTGTTCTCAGGCTGAACTTCTTAGTGGCTGGTTTGAAGTGAAAATTTGCGCTGCAGAGACCTCAGAGTGATGCCTGTGGTCCCTGTGCAACTCAGCTGGTCTGGGGGATGCTGCAGCTGCTGCCTCCCTGGCGTCCTCAGCATCCATCTGTGGGGATGGCCCTATCCCAGCATGGGAGGCTCTGGTTCCTGCAGCCCTGGGGAGATGCTGAGCTTTCCACAAAAGACAGGTCATGGCAGCAGGAGATGTGACAGCATGGACAGGCAGCAGTGAAAGGGCCCTCAAATACACTTTTTGTCTTTATATTGGTGTGTCTGGGAGCCCAGCTTACGAACTGCAAACAGGCAAATGTTCACTCAAAACCTGCAGTGCCTTGCTGCAGGAAGGCAAATGAGAGAGAACAGAGTGAGATTAAGTCTACCCTAACCAGAAGAAGTACAGGAACAATGACGGGGAAGTGACTTACTCAGAAATCTCAGGTAGAATGACAAAAATTATCTGTATCTGGCTATTTTTTAAGTCTTTTATTTAGGAGTGGAGGAGAGGGAACATTGTCTTCCTCCTCTGCTCTGCACAGGCACCCCAAATTCATGGGGCAGGATTTCCAGCCCTCTGACATCCTGCCCACACCTCTCTCCCCAGGTTTTCTACGGCAACTCAGACCGCTCATCCTCGGTTCAGAACCTGCTACGGCCGCCCATCATAGCCCGCTACATCCGCCTCATCCCGTTGGGCTGGCACGTGCGCATTGCCATCCGCATGGAGCTCCTCGAGTGCATGGGCAAGTGCGGCTGAATGCCGTCTCCTGGGGCAGATGTGCAGGTGTTCGGCTGTGCAGCCAGCCCGCCTCATCACCGACGCCGGCTGGGGCCATAGGCCTGCAGTGTAAAGGCCCAGCCTGCAAATGGAAGGGCTGTCTTGAATAAAAATGTGGCTTTGCACCATGCTTGGTGATAAAGCTAAACCCTGCTGTGAAGCTGATGGGTGTTTATAGGTGTCACATGTTGGGGAAGGCGGGAGAGTTCACGGCTGTGGCTTTGATCCCATGAGATGTGACGCTTCTGGCACTGGGTGTTAGGTTGGGGAAATCGTCATCACTGTGTGCTGTCGAAGCCAAAGTAAATTCAGGTGAGGTTCAAAGGTGGGGCGTGGACTCTCTCAGGGAGGGGAGGGCTGTGCTTGATTATTTGTTGCTGAGCCTGGGAATCCTCCACTCCCTCACTGGGGCCAGGGTGGGCTGTTGTGCTGGGGAAGAGGTCTCATCCTACTTTCCCTCATGCTCCTCCTGCTGGTGGTCTCTGCCATCCCTGAGACAGGGTTGAGGCCAGGTCTGACTTGTCCTTAGTGTGAGGGGCCTCACCTGTATCTCACACTCTCTAACCACCTCATGTCCCCTTGTATCAGGTTCCCTCTGGCCTGAACTGCTCTGGCTGTTTTTGGGACAAGCATTGGTGCTTTTTGTACCGAGTGGTCCAACTTCTCCATATCCTCCCTGGTTTTGCACCGACACATCCCGGGAAGCCCAGCGCGCCTTGCTCCCTGTGGGCATTTGGACACAGGAACAGGGACACACTCTCATTAACTGCCTCAATCTCCATGGCCTGATTCCCAGTGGGTGTTGAGCACCTGAGGATTTTTGGGGCGTGTGGAGTCTCTGATGATGCACCCATCTCCCTGGGGTGACTGCCCAGGTGTTACAGTTCATGCCCTGCCTCTGCCTGGGAGCTGATGTTCAGCACACCCCAGCTGGGAACTGTAGCCCCCACCGGTCCACATGGGTGGGCTGTGGGGTGCTCTGGGGTGGCAGCTGCTGTTTGGCTCCCCATACATCTGTGGCACAAACCTGGCGGGCACTGTAGGCTTTTTCCCTTTTTTTTTTTTTAACAATTCGGCAATCCAGACCAAAGAGTCACAGCATCAGCATCTGAACTATCTCAGTGAAGAGAGGAGAGGCATGAAAACTACGGCGCTGAAGCAGACCATTTGCCTTTCATGCCTTCTTCTTGTCCCTACGGGCAGAGATGAATACTCAGCAAGCAAGCCAGGGGTTGAGATGTGACTAAAACCAAATGAGATGTGACCAAAAACATGAGAAAAGCTTTTGGATGTCTGTGCAATTCATCACATTTATTCATTCATGAGGGCAGATGTTTCTGCCATGTATTTTCCTGTGTCTAGAGACAAATGATAGCTGTCAGGAAAATAAGCTGTTCTGGAGAGTCTGAAAGCTTCTGCTCCACTATATGACCAGTGTGATGTCTACAGAGATGTAGAAAAGATTGTTATTATGTCACCATCACTCCCTTGCTTCCCCTGTGCCCCTTAAATGATTTTTGCCTATTCACAAAGGGGTCAAGGGACACATTTTTTTAGTAAGAAATCAGTGGATCTGTGTGGTTGTCTAATGATTATCAATCCAGGCAAGTTCCGCTGAGCAGGTCCACTGAGCTCAAGGCAAGTCCTTCAGTGCAGCTGAGTTGCGGGACCAGCATGGTGCCTCCTTGGAGGCGCTCCACGGGAGACAAGGGATCTCTGCCAGCCATCACAGCTCCTGTGTCAGTAACATCAGCACTGGGAGGTGAAGCATTTCCAGGATCTGGACGCAGCTGCCATCATGTTAACATGCTGCACTCCTGTCCCGAAAAGCAGCATGGGCAGCTCTGCTCCATGCCCTAGTGGGAAGGAGGCTTGGTGCTGTCATATTGTTGCATGACTGAGGAGAGGTGGAGTGGGGTTGGAGAGCTGAAAAGAGGGACTGGGCATGTGCTGATGAATATTTGTAGCATCCCAAAGCAGTTAAAGCTTTACTGTAATCACCCAAAGCCCTGGCTCTGGCTGACCTCTGTGTTTCCACAGTCCAGGGTCTTGCAAGCTGTCTGGTTTTGGAAATCCACCCTGCGCCAAGGGCTGAGAGTGCCTGCGTAATTTGGAAGAGCTCACAAGCTTAATCCACAGCCTGAATGGATGGACTGCACATCCTTACACACCACAGCACCACACTAAATTGTGTATCTTCACATGACCGATCCTACATCTAGGATATAATAAAACCTTGAAGGAAGAAAAGACTGTCTAGGCAGAAGGGACCTGTGCTATCACTTTTCCAGCCTCCCAGCTTCAAAGAAATCACTAGACCCTGTTTCCAGATTGAAATGTATAATGATAAATAGGGTGGAATTAACTGGCGTACACAGAATTTCACAGGTCATTTGCTTCATGCCTCGCCTTGTCCTTTGCCAGCAGTTCACTTCTCCAGGTTGCATGGGGAAGGGACCTACTTCTGACTTTCATCTGCAGTGTTTAAATGGTTCCTGCTAAAACAGGAGTTTCTGTTCTGATCCTAGATATGCAGCTCGCTTGCTAATCGACCTTTGGAAATTCACTTAACCTCTGCCTCTTATCTAAAAAGAAGAGTGCTCAGAGGCTTAATTAATTAAGTAGTCCTAAAATGCTTTTAGAATTGCACTTGATTTCCACCGCTTCATAAGGGCAGTGCGTTGCAGTAACAGTGCGACATGAGGGCATTATGAAAGTGGGACAGAAACAGCCAAAATACAATTACAGAAATGCAAAGCTTTTCCTCGTAAGGTCTGACTTTTCCTAGCATATCACTATCATTGTAATTTACTGTCACAGATGCTTCCAATCACAGTTAAGCAGAACACAGCTAGCAATTAAGGCTGCAAGAGATGATGCAAAGCATTTCTGGAACGTATTTTTCTTCTAGGAGTGAAAATCCTGCAGCTCCTTACCTGCAGAGGCCAGGAGCCCAATGCATGGCTTTGCAACTGGGTAAAACACAAGAGGATTGAAATAGGAGTCAGGACCAAGAGCTGCCTTCAGCTCTGTGACCTGAATTTTTAGTCTGGGATGCTTTCAGAGAGAAGTGAGGGAGCTGTGCTGAGAAGTCGAGCTTGCCCAGCCCAAGCTATGTGATAAGAGATCGCCTCGGGCCTCTGGACCAGCCACACTGATTTGAAGTCAATAGCCCCTTTCTCTTAATGGGTACGTGCAGGAATTAATTCCTTCTTTCAGTCTGAGAGACAAATGCCCACACCTGCTCTGCTCCCCATCCCAAGGGGGACCGATGCTGACTATGCTGGGGCTACCACAGCAAGGTGCTTGACCTCTTCAAGGAGGTGGCCACTCCATTTTCTGGAGCTCTACAGGGGGTACAGAAAAGGGCACTGAGCGCCCTGGGGTCTCTGCAACGAGCTCCTTGAAAAAGTAAGAGCAAAGAGAGGTTGATAAGAGTAAAGCCAAGTCCCCAGAGGGCTGGGCACCTCAAGGAAACAAGCATTTCGCATGCAATTCTGGCTGGGACTGCTTGTTCTGATGGAAGTTGAAGTGACTAGATCAGGCCAGCAGCTTCCCTGTTTTGAGAGGTGACGGGCGCAGCTCCGTGAAGGCGCTGTGGGCTCGCAGAGGCTGTGGCTGCGGCACACCCCCAGCCAGGCCATTGCTTCAGAAGGGTCTGAACAGGCTGCAAGCCCTGGCTTCCTGCAAGTCTGCTGCTGGAGTGCAGAGGGAAAGGAGGCCGAGGCAAAGTCACCTGTTTCTTTTATCCAATTACCCTGCCAAAATATTTAAAGGCTTTTTAAAGCTGTACACGGTAACAAAAAAATGGGGCACACTAAAGAGGAAGCCACCAAAAACCGTGTTGCTGACACCTGAATGTTTGCCTCACAAAGCCTCGGCTCACATGTGGCAACGGTGTAATACCAGTGTCCTACTCGAACGGTGGATCCCCTTCTGCAGCAAAGACAACTTGAGGGCTGGAAACTTTCAGGGCCTTTTAAGTTTCTGGGTAGCACCTGCTGAGGGGATTGGCAGGTTGATACTGTTCAAAAGAGAGCAGAGCAGAGATACTCGCCCTGAAAGAAATTCCCCCCCTCCCCGGGCCAAAGTCTGCAGTGAGGCTACAGAAGCGGTGGGCAACAGATGCTTCAGAGCTTTTCTGTCCGTGCTCCTGCGCAAACGTCAGGCTTGCTGGCAGGCACGAGCCAGCTTCTGAGCCAGAGAGTTGGACAGGACTTGGCAGTGACCCGTCAGGCAGAGAGGTTCTGCTGCGGTTCTGACCTGTCCTGCTCACCCGAGCCAGGCCAGCGCAGGGGCAGGCTCTGGAGGCGGCGTGTCAAGAATAAGATTGGCAGTTGAGCAATGCCAGTGTTCTAGTGCAAAATCTGCATTTTTATTAAAGACATATTTTGGAAGGCCCATTCAAAAATACATTGTGCTCAGTAAAAATTAACCATTTCCATGCTGATAATTAAGGTTACCACAGGATTATTTTTTTTTCTCTTTTAGAATATTTACAGCAACAATAGAAATTGTACAGAAGTTAAGAATGGAATACATGCCCCAAAAAAATTTGGTAAGGTGTACCAACAACAATGATACAAAGGGTTGTATACAAACACTTTACAAATGGTTTATTAACTTGCATGAAATCATCCTTAAATATTCAACACATTTTAAAATCAATTTGTATTCCAGGATTAAAAAGGTTAACACCACATCACATCCCTTCCACAAGAGAAAGCTTGGTAGATTTAAAAGTTTGTGCGCTTTAGATTTCTAGAAGTTGTTAAAAAACATCGGGGAATCTCATCCATTAATTTAGAAGTTTTGAAAGCTACCTCCTCAGCCTGTTTTTTTCTGGAATAGTCTGTACTGGCAGATTGTGAAAAAAGATCACATTTTTCTAAACCTCATTCTTCCTTCCTTCTCCCAAATGACACAAACTCAGAATTCAGCATTTCACAGTGGAGATCTAAGCAGTTCTGGAAGTCCTTAGCAGATTAACCAGATTTTAAAATGCCTGCGTAGAATTTCCAACAAAATTATGGTTTCAGGGAAGATTTCAGCTTACTGTCCCATACAAACCGAATACATATATATTTATATGTTACTCCTTTCAGTTAGACA